GACCTCGGTGGCGACCCTCGGACCTGTGGATTCGTTGCTGTGAAAGCGTCTAGAGATGATGTTCGCCATGCCGACGGAACCCCGTGTCCTCTCAGTGGTTGCATGGTCAGCAAAAGTCTAAAAGTCATCTCTTGTGCGGTGTAAGAGTATGAAGCAGGCTTGACATGCAAGCGGCAGCAGCGCCGCGGTTTTCCACAAGTCACTTATCACTGGGTGTCATGCTGCTGACATCGTAGTGTCGACCAAGGGTGCTACACAATAAACCTTCCCTGTCCACCTGAAGCGCAGCAGTGGAGAAGCACAAATGCACAAACTGCCATGGTCGTTGTCGCTGTCATGATGGCCGAAATGGAATCAAGAAAGCGAGTTTGCGTCGCTGGGCACCAGTTGTTGAGTGCCCAGCAACTGGCTGATTCCATTCTCAGCATTCAATGCCATGTGTAGCAACACATCCTCCAGTCCGGTCTTTCCCAGGCCTGGACTTGTAGCCCACTGCTCTCTGTGTGTCCAGTCGCGTATCCTTCGCACGCGTGATCGAAGCAAACGGGCGACTTTTCTGCCTGTCACCCCTCTACCCTGCAGGGGTCGTAAAACCACCAGCTCCCTGCAAATCACTTGTGGTGCACTTCTGAGAAGAGCTCGAATCATGCGGGCACCATTGGAATCGTGTCATGGCTCAGTCTTTCGTGGTTTTTCAAAGAAAAGAAAAGAAAGAGAGACAGACCTACAAACAGACAGACAGACAGACCGACGGACCGACGGACCGACGGACCGACGGACAGACAAACAGACAGACAGAAAGAAAGTACGAAAGAAAGAAACCTCCTACTCTCCTCGCCTCTGTGAAGAGGAACATGTATGCATCAGGAAAGGCCTGAGTCAAACCGTCCACCGACATGTGAGGAGTCTTTCTTCAAGTCTATATTATCACCCTTCTTGGAAGACTGGACTGAGGGAACGGTTTAAACTTCGAAGTTATAACCCGCCATGTAACACATCAGCTGTTCAAAGCTAAGATCCTAACAGCATCGTCTTGCGCCGCAGCAACGTTCGTGTAGCTTCGCATCTCCTCGATGCAAAAGGGCTAGAGCATGTCGAAGAAAGCAGTCAACTGTGTGCAGGCATTGAGAGGAACCCCAACTTTGCTCAAGCGAACCTTTTGATGTGTGCGAAAACAAGGCAGCGCTGAATTTCTGCGACCCAGCTGACTCTACATGTCCCAGGTGAGTGCGATTGAAGGAGTTTCATCCAAAGGCCTGACCCGGTGGCCTTGTAATTCCAATAGTAGACCAGATTTCTGTAGTACAGGAAGAAGCCAATCACCAGCGACGCCATAGCAGCCTGCTGAAAGAAGCGAAAAGGAAAAGAAAAAGAAGCTAAGAGTCTAGAAGTGTTGTAAACCAAGTCCTATTTCTAAACATCCACTGCTCCTTTGGTAAATCGCATGTTGATCCCCCAGGTCTTTGGAAAATCCCAAAAAGCAATAAAAAGCATCCACACGGCCTGGATGGTGTAGAAGCCCATCCACCAGAGCCAGGGTCGTGGTTTGCCAGTCAACCTGGCGCTGAGAACATAGCAGCTCGCTTGAGCCAACCGCTTTCCTCTTCGGCAGCTCAAATTGAAGATGTTAACATGGTTCGCGAGGTGCAGAAATTCTGGATCTTCAATAAATAATATTAAATAATCCAAGGGAAGAAGCCGCGCCTAATAGCCTAATTAATCGACTTAAGGTAGAGGTTGGAGCTGGTAATACTATATGTAATATTGACCACTCTGCTCAAAGGCTCAGACCTTCTCCTTAAAGACAAACTGCGAGGAGAAGCTTCTAGTCACTACTGTACATCCTTGTTGAAAAAAAGCTCTAACGCTTGTGCTTTGGAGGCAGCCCTGCTTCAAAAGGGTCTGTCCGATCCTCTTATATACAAGGTTCTGACATTAGCTCCGTGCTTGCATGTTGGAGTGTTTGCAAAGATACGTTCGGTGACCATGCGCTGAAATTGAACAAACAATCTCTGTCTGCCAAAGTTGGGACAGCAATCTGCTGAGTCTGGTTGGCCACCTGCCAACCCTTTTTCAAAAGTGCTTCACTTGGCAGCTCACAAGCTTTATAATGGCAAGCAACAGCGGAGGGTTATGAAAGATGGAGTCCAGTCAGTGAATGACTGAACCGTGTGTGCTGCTGTCCTAGACTTCGGGGTCGGTTTGCAATGTAAGCTGATCAAGGAAAAAAAAGACTCCCTTCCTTCAAAAGCTTTCGCAAGTCCTGTTCCAGACTTGACTTGGCTTCCTCACTCGTGGCAAAACACTGACAAGCCGGTTCGACCATCGGAAGCTAAGGAGCATGAGCACCAGGCCACTCGCAACAACGCCTCAAAATTGACGATCTCAATAGGATGACTTCAATCTTGATTTGCACTGAGACTAAGGTCTTGCTGGAGGTCATACTACCAAAGCAAAACCAAGAAAACGAAAAGCAGCCTGCTGCTCATCTTGGCTCCAGACTGGCAAATACGGCCTCAAGATCTGGCTCAGTCTTCTACTTATAGCATCAACATCTCCACAAACGGGTTATGAAATGAATCACTGTGGGTCGGGTCACCTAGGTGTGGGACGATTTTCTTCACCCTCTAACAAGACTCGCACAGAACGTGTTCTACGCGAGCCACCACCACATGTCTTTCAAATGAACTACCTTAGATGTCAAACTGCCATCGTGTTTAGGTCTGCACCAAATGACCCACGCTCTTTGCCAGTGTGAAGGTTTCAAATGTTCCAAGGCCCCTTTTTAAAGCGTAAGGTAGACCGGATCTGTTCATGAGGCACAAAGCACAAACTTTTCGAAGTGTTCTCACCTTCACGAAGTCGACCTCTCCAAGTTGGACATGACACGGCCCACACGTCTCGTGCGCGCGCCGCTCCACGGGTCGGCTGCTCTCCCGGTCGACCGTGCATCACCTCTGGATTTTCTCCATCAAGGCCCAAGGCACCACGAACTTCACGATGGAGCTGTGGAACACGAAGAACCACGAAAGCATCTGAGTCGATTTCTATGTGCGTTTCGGACGCGTCCTTTATATGAGCTACAAAACGAAAAGAACCGCGCAATGCGGTTGGTCTCGTGCCACTGCAGCTTGGAGCCCGGAAATCCCTTCCTACTCAATGTGACTTTAAAGTTCGGAGATTCTTGATGCTGCACCTTGCCCGTCCAACTACTGATCCATACTTCTTGCATTCGAGGCTGCTTGAATGACCTTAGGCTCCGGCTATGGATGCGTAAGCGATACCGGGAAGGATGATCAGTGCAAAGGTCCAGAGCAGGGCACGAGCATTGTTCTGCACGGGCACAATACTGCGAAACAAAGCCACAAGACAACTGGTGGGCCCCATACCATCAACACAACCAACACAAAACACCACATGCAACATGCAGAAAACCTTCTTCCAACAGAATTGAAACTGCAGGAACAAACGCTGACACCAAAGAGAATAACTCCACGAATATTGGGGCCGCCTTTCCGTCATCAGAAGAGCCATGGGCGTCGACACGCTTGTCGGCCCGTTTTAGGAGCCGGTCGCGCTCTGAGTGCAAGTCCTGTCAGCAAGCTGAGTTCATGGCTGAGTCCACCGGGCGTCCGTGGCTACCGGAACTAGCTGGTCGTAATATGCATCCATGACTGGCTGGGTGGTACGTAGATCCAACGCAAGTCTCCCCAACAGTGTCCCACCACACGACATTGAATATTTCAACATGCTGTGTGCGAAAGACGTTCTCGATGGAAAGACATAGCCCTCCTTTTTTTGCCGATCACACCAAGTCCTGCTTGGCTCGGTGTGCTCGTGCTTGATCCTGGAACCGTGCCGTGGAAATGGAAGGTTAGCGCAAGTTCGGTCAACTAGCAGCCCGTATACTGGGTTAAACTATCAATCAGCAACATCTCAAAATGAAAGGACTTCCTCTCAACAAGGATGCCTTTCTGCTGCATTTGAGCACATGTCGATGGCTGGCTGGTCAATCTCTGGGGCACAGGCCATTTCATGAGACCTGACGAAAAGCTTAGCAAGAGGCCCTATTGCTTTCGAGAGTTCTACAGCGTGCTGTTCAATCAGCTAACCGGAAACCGAACGAGATCACGTGCACGATCGCACGGTGTCACGCTTGTTCCAGAAGTTCAAAGCTACAAAATGCACAACTTGCCTCAGCCATGGATGAAGTTCGAGAAGGGAAGTCTCGAGCCACAACTTTCAATTTGGTCGGCCAGCCGCTTTGGCGCTCACTCAGAGAACATAGCGGCAAGCAGCAACCAAGTCGCATCTTCTTGCGGCACAAATGAGTCTGCATGGAAATGTCCTATGCTAAACCTATGCTACAAACGTGCTTGCATGGCCTTGAATACAGACTTTCAACAAAGCCAGCAGACCAAAAGCAAAGCAAACATTCATTTGCACGTGTTTTCTTCTCTCACTGTGTCCTGTGTAGTCACCCATCCGCGCAGGATGGGCAACGTGCAACACTACTGTAAGCGATCCTGCGATAAATCCTTCCTTGCGCTTTTCATGAACACGTGCGCGCAATAACAAATGCTGCTACTTTATTAATGAAGCCTCCAAAGGGCAATCTGTTTGACATCCAGGGCTTGAAAGAGCTGTAAACCTTGAACTTCGATGGGGATCTCTTATACCTTGCGCACTTGGAAGGTTCATCAACTAGAGTCTGTTTCCTTTTAGATTTGAGACGATAGCCCTCCCAAGTGAAGGGGAGGATCTGGCTAGGCAACAGGAGCTGCAGAAGAGGAAGCTCAAATACTAACGCGCAAAAGAATGCAAGTTGAAACAAAACTACAGCCAAGTCACTTCTGCTGTCTTTGCAACTGTTGTTCTTTTCAGCTCCAGTATCGACACTTGAAACACATAACCTGCTAAATTGAATTCAATACGTGCAAAGGCTCATAGTGCTGGAAATGCTGGGATCCAGGTTTGCTCTACTTGTCAGCATCTGCTTGTCAGCATCTGCTATAAGCAAGCAAATATTCTGGATAGATGCGATCCTTGGAAATGCCAGGGGTCAGCCCCAGGGTACGTTGACGGGAAAACAGGTTGGCAAACCAGGTTGTAACAATGGGCGAAAGTACCATGCTCTTCGTGTGTCACTTCAAAGCTTTACCAACAAAGCAGGTGTAGACAAATATCATCAAATATCTACTTGGATCTACTTGGTGTTCTGACAACCGATCCCATTTCCAAAAGATTGTATTCCAGCCTTGCGTTTCACAAGGAAAGATGGGCGGAGACAGGACTCAAGCATATCACATGCGGCTTGTTGAGGACCCCCACGCTGTGAGTCAGGACGTACTCACGATGCCGCTGAACTTTTCCACCCACCTCCACCTGATGCATAGGTAGGCGAGTGCTCAAACGAAAAATAGGTTTGAACAGAAACCCCAGATGGGAAATCCTTCAAAGAACTGCATGAATCACTGAAAGAGTGAGGCCGTTTTCGCTTGGGAAGAAGCCGTTGTGGCTCCAAAAAAAAGAGCTCTCTCGCCTGTAGTGAATGATGCGGTGCATCATGGCCTGGAATGGCACTCAGCTCACGCTTTTCGGGCCTCAACCAATACTGAGAAACGAAAATGGAGAATGAACGCTCAACCTGTTCATACAATGCATGTGTTTGTTCTCAGCGCTGTTTGGAACGTTCACATTTGGCCAGTGCGAACCCGGGCGCCACGTTGCAATGCAAAAATACTCTGGTAGAACCAAAGGTGATGAAAGCTCTGGGTAGGGACCCGTGTTTAATGTGCTTTTTCTGCACTGAGGTGCCGACGTTGACCAAATGCTTCGGCCTTCATCCAAGCTGTTCTCGCCATCTCGTGTTTGCACAAACCATCCTGAAAGACAATACCCAACGGATTTTTCAGGGGATGCCTCACCCGAGCTCAAATTAAGAAGATCTTTCGACCAAAGAGGAAAGCCACTTGATACTTGATGCTGTTTCGCATGTCATAAGCACATTTTCGTAAGCACCAGTTCTCATTGGACCGCCAAGTTCGTTGGACCGCCGGCCGGTCCTAGAACTGCCCGACACACGAAGATGTAGAAAACATCTCCTTGGACAAACGCAAAGGAGCTGAATCCCTGTTTCCACAGTCGCAGCGTTTTCTCTGAAATCCAAGGGGTTTGGGTGTCAGACTGACCCGGTGTGGGGATTTGACGGACCGGTTTCTGACGCTTCGGCTTGCTTCGGCCAGCTTGATTCCTTCTCATCCAAGCATCGCGGAGATCGCTGGAAGTGCTCACGCAGAGCTCTGCCGTCTGGATCGTTGACACAGTACTGGTCACTCTTGGCAGCATCCTCCACGCAGGGCGAGCTAGCAAGTTTGCAGTTAGTGGGTGTCACGGAGAGGTTCAGGTTTCTTGCGTCTGGAGTGTTGAATGCTTGAAGTGTTGATGCGCTGACGCTGATGCTCCAAACAAAGACATTTATATATCGTGTTGCTGAGTGCTGCTGAGACAGAGCTTTGTGCTGCTGAGCGCTGCTCTCTAGCCTCTGCCAGGTATGAGCCGCGTCCAAACAACCCTCCGCTGAACCGCTCGTTCAGCCCATCGCTAAGGATCTTCTTCACCTTGAAAAACAGGAGAGCAACAAATCTGTATCCTCACAATCAATCTGCTCGTGAGATCTCATGAGTACCTATATGAAGGAGCGACATGCACTCCAATAGTGGTCTTGGGCCCTGCCAAACTTTGCAGACCTCGCTTCAAATCTTCTGTCGAGCAGGTTAGCATTGCAGTACATCAGACTGTTCTTGGCCCGCGGCAGTATCAGGCTTCGTACCGTGCAATAGGAAAACCTCGTTAATGTCCTTGTTCACTGGATTGGGCAAGTCTCCAGTTGATGCCACCAGTTGCTCACGAATTTTGACCGTAGGCATCCTTGAGAGCTTGTGTTTCTTCAAGTCCTTGATGTTCATTCTTTCCTAAGGTCAAGCAAAAATGTTTAACCCGATAGAATTGTTGACATAGCTAAATCCATCTCTTCAACCACTTGGCAGTAACACAGGGTCACCTTGGACATCACTTTGCAATCTGTCAGATTCGTCCAAAAACGGGGTTTCGTCCTCGAAAACATGTCCTCTGTTGCACTGGAAGTTGGTTCCTCCCCTGCATGGAGCCGAGATTCATGTTCAAACTTGCGCCAAAGGTAGGCGTTCTCCACCCGCCAAGCCCTTCGAAGCTGCAAGCTGGTATAGGGTGGCCAGCCGCTGCAATCTCGCCCGTGGCCCAGATCATGAGCGTTCTGCGGACCTCAGGGAGACTGTGGCAAGGTGTTCAATTGCACAGAAAGCTTGGACCATCCTGTCACTAATCGTTTCCATCAAACACCTGCAAGCTTGTCACCGCCAAGCCGCAAAGAACCTCTTGCAAGTGCTGAAAGACAAAGCTCCCAGATTCGACCGCAACCAGCCGGTAGCCATCTTTCGGCATTGGCTGCTTTTTCCAATGCTTTGGAAGCTTGATCTGCGAAGACGCCGGCTCCGCCTCCTCTGGTTGGGCTCCATGCAGGAACTGTTTCACCCATTCGTGTGCATACGCCATACCAAACCATCTGGCCACACTCAAACACTCCTTCTGCTCTTGCAAAGTCAGCTTCTCCACCTGGTCACCCTCCACACGGCCGGTGTAAATGATGGCCTTCACCAATTCCAGGACCTGCTGGGAACACCTGGCCTTCTCCTGTAAACACCAGGAGTCGGGGCGATCTCGATGGCGCACCAAGTGGCTGCCCAGCTTTGGACAGGCTTTGCAACAAACAACGCGGTGTGCCAAGACCTGACCATTCTGGCACTCGAGGACCAAATCGGCCAAGGACTCATCTTTCTGTAGCTCCTGCCGGTCAGACTTGATCAGGACCGATCACCAGGCTTAGTACTGTATTTCCGAATTTCCTGAGTGGACCAACAAAAAGGACCCTCCCGGTCGGAAACAGAGCATGTAGTTGTGTGCATCTTTTAACATGAGAAGGTCTCCCAAACAACCAAAGCCGTGTAAAAAAAGGATAACATGTCTGTCTGAGGTCATTACTTGTCACCTATGCACAGAGCCTGACTGTGTGTCCTACAAAACCATGTGCTTTGCAGTGAAGTCTACATATGTTTCCCAAATTTAGGGCATCGCTTCGCGAGTGTTTTTTGAGAGAACGGTAAAAACCATAGGAACTGCAACGCGAAACCAGCGCTGTGGTTAACGCTGAAATGGTGCAAATTACACTCTCTAGCCATTCGAGGTTAACAAGGGGCACCATCAGTGAGCGACGTGGACTTGGCGCACCCCCCCCGGACCTCCCGTAGTATCTTGTGTCGTCACATCAACAACTCATCACCATAATGCTCTACTGATCACAAGAACGAAACCAGCCCCCCCCAAACCTCCCGTAGTATCTTCTGTCGTCACATCAACAACTCATCATCATCATCATCATCATCATCATCATCATCATCATCATCATCATCATCATCATC